TTAATGAATGCGTTTACCGTGCAATTGCAGTGGTACAATTTCAGTGCACTAACCCAAGCCTCCCACTGATTCTCCAGGTATGACATAGGGTGAGGTACTTGTAAAATGAAGGAAATAAATATCCCCTTTTAGCAAGCCTGTGAGCCTCAAACAGAAGTGACTATGCAAGTGTAAAGTACGATTATTACTATTTTACTCATCCAGAAGTAAGTTACACAACAAAGCATCAAAAGCCCCTTTGAAAATGTACATTACCCAACAAGCTGATGGAGGAAACTTGAATTATTTTTCTCAAAGCAAGTAGCTCACTGTGAAACCAGCTGCTCTGAATTTGAGTCAGCAGCCTTCCCAGAGTCAAACCCACCAGCACCTCTCTAAATTCACCCTCGTTAAAAATTTTGATGATCCCATTAGAAGTCCCTCAGGTACTTGCCAAGCAGCACTGTTGATACAAGGAGCTAAAAAAAAAATGCCCTCACAAGAAAAAGATCTCTTTTCACTGCAGTTACTTTGAAGAGAGGAGGGAAGTCATTCTTCATTATTTCAGTTACTAATCCCAGCAGGTTTGCTTCATTATCTCATGAAAATGTCCTTTGTCGTTGTTTGAAGGCACAGTCAGAGGGACCGGTGTCAAAGCCAACTTTCTAATGCAATACCTGCGCTCTTTTGCTATGAGCATGGCAATAACCCTACCTCCTGCCCAGCCACCACCACCAGCACATGGCTGAGAACCTTCGCCTTATGCTGCCACTGGGATGCCCACTCTCTTTTGGAAGAGTGTTTTAATGACAAAAGAGTGTTTAGAAGTAGTTTCATTCTAAAAAGTCCTGCCCAAATGACAGAAGGCATCTGTAGTTGTCATGTTTGAGTGATCAACAAATGTGCTTGATTTGCAAGCACAAATGGAGCTGGAGTTGGACCAGTGGATGACTGGAGTTGCCAGCTTGACTGTCATGCTGAAAGTCAACCCAAGGTAAGGTCTCTGCCAGCTATAGCAGGGGGAGCATGCCCACATGCTATGAGCAGAGTTGTATGACCACCACAGCATAGCTTGTGTAGTCCTGTCGCTTCAACAAGGACTTTACATCTAGCCGAGTGGCCACCTGTGTGCAGCCAGGTTGGTCAGCTGTGGCTCTTAGCCCCCAGCAAGAAATGGGCATGTCCATGACTCAGACGCATGACATCTCACTCAGCAGCCTTTAACTCTTTCACCTTGGCCCTGCCTTCCTTCTATGAAAAAAACCCACATTTTTTCAGGCTGAAAATACATCCTCACAGACACTTGTGCAAGCCAGGCTATGTTTTCATGGCAACAGTTGGCTGGAGTTGAGCACTTTGGTTCAATTTGCAGCAGACACAGGAGAGTAGCATCAATGTCACTTTACTAAGCATGTTGGTTTGCGAGGCTAATGGAAGCAGCAAGGAGGGTCCTTGCCTCATCCTCCTGTTTTAATAGACATGCCTTTGAATACTTATACAAATGATTTCTGTTGAAGAAACTGGTGTCTGTTGAAGAAATTGGTGTCACTCTTATGTAGCTGCAGGGAGGCTCTCCCTAGTTATCAGTAAGAGAACCTCCGCAAACTTGTAAGATGCAAATAAGTATTTGTGACAAACAGGATCTGTGAAGAGGCTGCAATGAGGTAAATTTGTTTTAGACTATTTGAAGACTGCGCTTGTTTACTTTGCTGAAAAGACTTGTATTTGGACTTCCATTTTCCTGGGAGGAGAGGGTGCTTTCAATAATATTACAGCTTATCCAGTCCTTTGTGTATGTCAAGTAGCAGTTTCTAGATCACTTCCCAACATGGTGGGAATGACGCACAACCTTGAATGCAAAACTTGCCAGCTGAAATGAAATGGAAGGAGGGAGGAACAGCTTTTCCAGCTCTGCATGGGTGAGCTCAAGCTCTGTGGCGATGCAGAGCTGGAGGATGCATGCTGCATCCAGGAACATGCTGGGACACATGAAGTGACATCCTCAGCTTTCCTAGTGAATCTGAGTATGAGACAAAAAGTTGGGTCTGTCTTGGAGCCTTTTGGCATTGGCTCTATCAGACATAGAGGAAGCTTCTAGCAGCTTCTCACAGCAGCCACTCCTAGAGTCCCCCCCCACTATCAAAACCTGGCCGCACAAACACAATACATCTGGTATTTCAGTCAAGGTGGCTTTTACAGAATATTTAGTGTCCAGAAACTTCAGAGGGAGGGATGTCTATGCATGAGATTAAGATAGACTGTATAGCAAGCAGTGCAGCCAGGAAGAGCTATATAAAGCACAACAGATGCTGAGCACCTTAACTCAGCATTTATGGGAGCTGGGGATTTTTATTCTAGTCTGCCTCTAATGTGGCTCTTCCTGTGCATTAGGCACATGCCAGGAGTGCATTTTCCAGTTTTCTTTCACCTGCGGTAAGTCCCCAGTTGGACGAACTCCTTGCAGTGTGATACAAAGAGAGGAGGTGATAGTCCCTTCAAAAACACTGAAGGAAAGATGATGAAGGAGAGATACCTTCTGCCTTACACAGTCTCTAATCCTGTCCCTGCAACTCCCCTACTTCCCTCACATTTGTCATTTACCTTTCCAGCAGGATGGGACTTGGAGCATTTCACTCCTTTCCTATGTGGATGGAAAGCAACTGGGAGGTGCTTAGCAAGTTCTTAGGACTCATGTACGAATTAAGCAGCTCCAGCGTTCTGTCCTATAGGAGCTGCAGAAAGAAAAGACAAAGGAAACCATCTCTCTTATTTATCCATTCTCAAATACAGCTGTAAATTGTGTTATGATTTTGTCGATATATGGTGCTTGCAAAGTTTTCAAATAAATAACATTATGACCCCAGGGGACTTATTGATCTTGTAATAATTTCGAAGAGAAACCACTCAGTTTCCCGTTTGCTGTCCAGTTCTTTGCTCCCTGAGGAATTCCTATTGAACATGTATTAACAACAGGATAAAATAATTCCAGGGGAATACAGAGAGAGGGCTTTGTGCATGGACTCTGCTCAGCAAATGGGTATTTAACCTCTGACTGGTGACGACAGGTCTCCTTTAGCTCTATTAGATCAACAGCGAGCTACCATAATTAAATAAAAAAACTGTTTAGAGCCTCACTGAACATGTCCTGGGAATTAAAGCATATGGCAGGGATAAGGAAAAAAGACTTTCCATATGCTAATGACCCTTGATGTCTGAAATAAATTAGATCCATTAGAGTTTATGCTCAATAAAAGAAAGACTTTAAGCACTCCGAAGTTAGTGACTCGAGACCGATTTTGGCTTAGAAATTCAATCTGCCTGCTTATTAATTCTCAGTAAGGCTCTGGAGGAGACAGGGGATGCAAAATCATAATTCTGTGCTGTATCAGAATTTTAAAGCACCATCAGTTTCTTTTCCTTCTTTTTTTTTAATTAAACCATTTTTCATACTTCCCTTTTTTGTTCTCCTCATTAATTTGATTTTGTTCCCATTTTTGTTTAATTTCTTTCTTTTTAAGGTTTCATTTATCCTATTTCAACTGAACAGAGAACCCAGAATGAATATGGATTTTCTTGTAAGTTTAATGTTTGATTTTATGTTCCTGGATGCTAATTTGATGCTGTTCCTTGGTTCAAGCTTTGCTGTTACACCAGCTCTGTGGGACTAAGGAAAGAGGGACCAATCTGACGGAGTAAGTGACATGCTGCTTGCTTGACAGCAGTCACAGTGTTTCACTGTCAGCAAGTTGCCATGAAATGATACTGTCCCTGATACATATAGAAAATGGGAAAAGGTGATGCCTCAGAGGTGGGCACTGGAGAGAATGAACCCTTTTCTCCTTAAAATTTCCTTAGCAATCAAAAGAAATATGGTGAAGGAGTAAATTTTCTTTGAGCTGGGACTCAGAAATCTGCTTCCTGAACTGCTGGGGGAAATAAAAAAAAATTTTAAAAAGATGTTTTGATGCTGGTACACTGAAGGTCTGATAGCGAGGAGCTTATGGAGGTTGATCGGTCCCTTTCAACATGTGCCAGCTCTCACCTCTGCAGCTGAGGGGCAACTTGGCTTGAATGGCTAAAAGGCAAGAAGCATTAAAAAATGAAATTATTTCACATGGTTCAAGCTAACAAAACTGGTGTACTAAAAGATCTGATATGGTTTTGCACTTTCTTTTTTCATTATGCTATTTCTAAAACTGGGATTCTTCACTGCTTAGAAACGCATCAAATTTTGGTCATATATTCAGACCTTTTGGAAAAAAATATCTAGTGGATAATGATGCTAGAGATTAGCCTGGAATTAAGTGCTGAAGATATGATATAAGCACCCAGTAGAAATATCATAGCCATTTTCTCACAAGACAGCTCTAATAAATCTGGGTTCCTTTTTGTAAATTACCACATTATTTCTTGTGCTTGGTTCGGCTTTTATCCAAATACGGATGTGTTAATGCCAGTGATGAGAATTCCATGTTTGATTCTTTGCTTTACTAGGTTTTGGGTTTTTTTAAGGAAATTGATGGAAGGGAAAAACGGCATGGCACGTTGTAGTTCAAAAAAAGCAAACTCTAAGATACGCCATGATATTTCAGATATTCCATAGAAAATGGACTTTTGATTTTGTAGGGTTTTTCACCTTTTTAATTAAAAAATCAGGCTTATGAAGATTAAACTTTTTTTTGTGATGTACAAATATTATGATATTATGTCACCAAGACATTCTATTTTATTTCATAGGGTGAATTTACTTCATGACACTAAGTCTATAACATGTTACGCTCGGTAGTACACAGCTTGGGTACTAAATGGATGAACAAGTAGATAGTGAAAGAATTAGAACACAAGTTAGAGAGAAATCAAAGATCATTTTCCATCAAAAGGGCATAGACCTGTTATATAGCTTTGGAAATGGATTTTAAATTAACCTATAAAAAAGGCAGTAAACGAGAATAATAAGAATGTGTTTTCTTGAAAGTCCCTATGAAGAGAATGTTTTCTTCAAGGTTCCTCTCTCCCTCTAGCTGCTCCTGACTCCGATGATGTTGCCCTCTACGTCGGGATTGTCATAGCCGTGATCGTGTGCCTGGCTATTTCCGTGGCTGTGGCCCTGTTTGTTTACCGCAAGAACCACCGTGACTTTGAGTCAGATATTATTGACTCCTCGGCGCTAAATGGGGGATTTCAGCCTGTTAACATCAAGGCTGCAAGGCAAGGTTAGTTGTCATTTCACTCTGTGTTGACCAGTTCAGGAAGATGCGGTAAGGTTCTGGTCTCTTGGGCTGCATACTTGCTGGATGCTTGTTGGCACTTGACGAAAGAGAAAAAGATCATATGCATTTGTTTCTGATAGTCAAGTGTTCAAAACCCACATTAGCATTTTTTAGATGTGCTTAAAAGCAAAAAGCAGAGAAATTTAACTTCTGAAGAGAGAGGTTGAATGCAAGAGTGAAACACAGAGACATTTATGGAAATACAGGTCCAAATCTAAATAAAGGCAATGCTCTGACAGAAACAGTGGAGGCAGGATTCATTATAGGAGTAATATTATGGTACAATAATTCTATTACGTCTTCCTCCCCTCTGTTTCACCGATAGTATTTTTTACTGTGTCCCGTCTCCATGGGCATAAGTAGTATTTTAAGGAAAATAATATTTTAAGGAATATATTTAGAAGAAGTTGCATTAGAATGTCATTTAATAATGAGCATTTTTATCACTGGTGCATAAAAGCTTGATGATTTTCATATTTCATTGGCCAGAAAAAAAACCACTCTAAGGTTAGCGCTGACTTTATCAAGACTTATGTTTAGGCTGTAGAATTCCTCTTTTTTTCTCAATATGTATGCAAAAAGAACAAATCAAAGCAAGAGTTAAAACAGTTGTCATGTGGCAGATTAGGAGAAGTGTCACTTCCTTTGCTGGGGATACTTTTAAAAGAAATCTCCCCACTGCAGGGAGTCATGGGCATGATGACTTAATAGGTTTGTTCTGTCTTTTATTTCAGGAAAGCTATTGTTAGGCCAATTAGATAAATTGGTTAATGATTCTCACTCTAGCATTTAGGGAGAGAATATTAGTTAATAAAACTGGATCTACTGAGTATGGAAAATAATTTGCCCTGAAGCTAATCATATCATACTGGAAACCTGAGTGCAGCCTGGAAAAATAATCCCGGTGAAAAATCCTTAGACCAGGAATGTGCTGTAATTCTGTATGACAATTAGATTCTGTAGTGACTTGAGCAGTATAAGCCCTGGGAGCTTGCTGGAGAGACGCATGGAAAAGGACACGAAGGTCAGTCTGCAAGGACTTTGTGTATCTTAACCTTTGGTATGAAATGCAAGATGCAGGTTGAAGTCTAAATCGTTACCCGGAAGAAAGTTGATAGAATCTCTGTTCTCTATAGTCATTAGAATCTCTATTCTCTATATACGTAATATGGTTCTTCCTTCTCTTTTCCAATGCAGACCTGCTGGCAGTGCCACCAGACCTCACTTCGGCTGCAGCCATGTACAGGGGTCCTGTTTACGCCTTGCATGACGTCTCTGATAAAATCCCAATGACCAATTCTCCGATCCTGGACCCGCTGCCCAACCTGAAAATCAAGGTTTATAACACCTCTGGTGCTGTCACTCCCCAGGATGACCTCTCTGACTTCTCCTCCAAGCTGTCCCCACAGATTACACAGTCTCTGCTGGAGAATGAGACCCTGAACATGAAAAACCAGAGCCTTGCTCGGCAAACAGACCCATCATGCACTGCATTTGGGACCTTCAACTCTTTAGGAGGTCACCTAGTAATTCCCAATTCAGGTAAGTACCAGGCATGTTGGCTTGAAGGCTCCATTGTTTTGTGTTTTTAATTGGAGTTAGCTTGCTTTTATGGAGTAAAAAGCAGGGTCATTCCCGGGACTCTGCCTTTGCTTTGTTCCAAACAAACAGATGTTTTCCCCCTCCCACCCCCCCGTTCACCTCTACTGAGGTACTTCACGCATTCTTTTCCCAAAGTCCTGGCTACCTTTCTAACAGAATATTGCAGGGCTCTCAGCTGCTTTCTGAGACATGCAAGGCTTCCCTGTGTGAAGCGAGATTCAGCATCCTTGACCTTTTCCTTTCATGCAGCTCTGGAAAAGGGACCCCAAGCCAGAAAGCCTCAGTCTTGTCATCACACATAAAAAGAACAAATTAATTAAAAAAAAAATCGGTTGTTCCACTTCCAATTCATTGCAGACTGTGTGGTATTGAAGTAGGACAGCAGAATACTAATTTTTGGAAGGCTTTTTTCCTGCACACATTACATACCCAAGGAAAATAAGGCCCAAGAGTGTCTTTTACATATTTCTCTCCTCATTATATGTATTGTTGACTTCTTTTACGAGTAGGAAAGAGAGGGACTGAGCATCAAGTGCCTTTTGATATAATTGCAAAGTGCAGCTCAGTCTTTCTCATACAGTAAGAAATCAGGCTGCTAGGCCCCCTTCTAGCCATCCAGGCACCTGGAGGCAATGTCAGAGCATCCAGGGAGCTCCTGGGAGGCCTTGGGAGAGGCCTTGCAGCCAGATTTTTTAGAGGGACCATAGTGCTCTTTGGCTCCTAAATGAAGTGTTGACGATCAAAGAAAGTTCAGTACCTAGATGTTCCCATAGGTTTGTCATGCTAAGGAAGATCAACTCTGACATCTGAAAGGAGGGTCAAATCGAACACATGGAACACTGGACATGGGGGATATGCCAGCTATTCAGTGGTCAGGAGTCCCCCTGCACAGTTTCACTGGAGCTGAGTCCAGGCAGGGCCATGGTACACATGAGAGCACAGCTCGTAACTACCTGATGCGATAGCTCAAGGTTTCACAGCATTTCTGCCTTTCCTTCTCTACATCTTGTGGTCAGCTCTTGCCTATTTTACAGCACAGCGCGCTGACCAAGGAGACAGTGTCTACACTTGTCTCCTGCTCCTTTGCTCGATCTTTTCTTGTTTACTAGTGTTATGGAGAAAGCAGAGTGCCTGGGTGGCCTGGAACCTGGGTGGTTTGGTCCTTCCAGAATGCAGCCTCATGCTGCCAAAAGTGGTTAGTGAGCAGTAGCCCTCCTCTCTGAGCTACTGTGGAACAGGGGGCAAAAATAGCTCTTAAATTTAAGTGAAGGCTGAACTAAAAGAAATCTGGTGCTGACTGCTGAGCCATGTTGAAGATTCAGCCTACACAATCCTGGATTTCACATTTCTCTAAGTAGCAGATGAAGGTAGATGTTACTAGATGTTAATACTCAGTTTTCTTATGCCATGATGGTGAATGCTGTCAGCAAAGTCTGTTAGTCACACTTAATTCACATATATTAATATCAATTTGTACAGAAAAAAAAAAAAGGTTATTTATTGCTGTAATCCCTTCAAAATGATTAAAATAAGTTTTGTAAAATATATCAGTCTGTCTACTGCTACCATGTATGCTGCCGTGCTGCTTCTAGATGTATGTGTATCCTTGTAGTGATATGATCAAAGCCCTTCATTTACACCACGCCTGCCCTGTTACAGCTGAGAACATGCACAGGTGAGGTTGTAACAGGCCTGTAAAGAAACAAATGTCAGAATACATTAATGGAAAATGCTTTCTTAGCTAATCCCTCCCCTTCAAAGCCAGAGATGAGACTGGGCCCCAGTATAGCAACACATGGGAGGTCACCAGCATAACCAAACCATGTATGCTGAAGAGAAGTGACAGGGCCTTTTAAGTTTAATATAAAGCCTCTCTTGTCCATACGCATATATGTAAACAATCTGCCTGTAGGTTTGTTTTCAGCTATGTAGTAATAACTGTATTAAAATTCTAGCCACTGATTTCCAGCTAATCCACATTTGCAAAGACAGCTGGCTGAAACGTGTCCAGTAGAGTGAAAAAGGTGGTTCGTGTGCTGTGTTAGTTGTGTAACGACAGGACATTTCTGAAATGGCAGTAATGCAAGAACACTGTTCTGTAATCAAATGTGCAGCTAATCACCACTGAAGAGAGAGGGCACTGAGCATGTTTGTCCACATATTGTTCAAGGTTGGATACCATTTGCAAAGACAGCTGGCTGAAACGTGTCCAGTAGAGTGAAAAAGGTGGTTCGTGTGCTGTGTTAGTTGTGTAACGACAGGACATTTCTGAAATGGCAGTAATGCAAGAACACTGTTCTGTAATCAAATGTGCAGCTAATCACCACTGAAGAGAGAGGGCACTGAGCGTGTTTGTTGGATACCCAGATTTTAAGGCACTTTACAGGAGTACGCACATTCAAAATACCAAGAAGCCAAATTTTTTCTCCGTGGTAGTCTAATTAGAAGCTGAGTACATTAAAAGACAGGATGCCAGTTGCAGAAGCTATCTTTCAGGAAACAACTAGTTCTTGTTGCTTCCTGGGACAGTGCTCCACTGCCTATCTTTCCTGATTCTAATTAACTAAGAATTGCCTGGGGAGAGATGTCCCGTTACAGCTGTTGGAAATTTTAGTTAAGAGTTTTTTGTTTTTTTTCCATCATTTTACAAGGTAAGCAGCCGTGTAACCATCTGTCTGCTCTTTAAATAAAATAAAAGCGGAGGGAAGAGAATCCTCTTCTCCACTCCTGTATTTTAGTGTCAACACACAAGAGGATGCAGAACAGGCCAGCTGACCACCAGAAATACCCAGCTTGCAGTAAATAGTTTTTCTCCTAATCTGCTGAGATTGTGCAGAGTCTGATGGTGAGGTTGGGTGAAAATCTGGCATTGCAGGCTTCATCTTCTGCCTCTTCTGTCACTCTTCTTCACAGGCCCACTTGCCTCTGTTTTCTCCATTTCATCCCTTGTGTCTCTTCTGTTCTGCAGGAGTAAGCTTGCTGATCCCAGCAGGTGCCGTTCCACAAGGAAGAGTCTATGAAATGTATGTGACAGTTCACAGGAAGGAGAACATGAGGTAAAAGACTGCCTTTATTTGCTTGTGCGTTAACAGTGGGGAAAAATGTGGTAACTAAAGACCTGTGATAATATGCTTATGCAAAGCCTACTCTGTCGAAGGTCTTTGCTGACTTGGAGGTAAACGCAAGCAAAGCCGAGGATAAACTTTGCTACAAAACTGGCTCAGACTTTTTCTTCTAGCAAAGAGTTGCTGAATCATAGCCAGAAGCGAGGAAAATGTACCAGTGTGAGTTTGGTGCAGCAGAGAAGGTGTGAGATAGCCTCTTAATAAAGACCCCTTTTGCAAAGGAGGAGGGAGCAGAGGAGCAAGGTGACAGATCAGCTCAGCAAAGGGTGCCTGAGCACCTGTCTTGGAGAATCTCCCCTTCTGCTATAATGAAGGTGAATTTTTATTTTACCCTTCTTGGGCTTGGCTGGTCCATTCAGTGGACACCCAGGCTTTTGGTGTCTTCCACCCCTCTTTACTCCAAAGGTGGAAGGAAGCAAATAGTTGTCCTGCTTAGCTCCAGGCACTCCACGCTGAGGGCCACCCAGAGCCAATGTTGGGATGACCCCTGTTGTTCTCACCTGATACCCACATGTGTGGCCAATTCATATTCTAGATCTTAATGTCTACTGAGTGATCTGGCAGCCTTGGCATAAGAGTTTCCAAAAAGGACAAGATACCATTTGAAGCAGCTTAGGAAAACCTAATGAATAGAAAGGCGAGATATTAGCCTACAAAATGAGCTCACGTGCACAAAGGCTGAATGGCAAATGTGAATCTAAGCAATGATTACACAGTATTTTGCCTCTTTCCCCTCCTCGTAGCTAGATACATTTTTTTGGCTCAGCCCCTTAATAGCTTTTATTATGTGGTAAGCCACAGCTGTTTATACACTGTGTGATATTGAACACTCTTCTTTAGCTTGGTAGTCTTTCACCCATGGTAAAATAATCTGCTTAAAGAAAAAATAAGTAACCCCTCCACCCACCCTTTTGTATACATTATTCATCGCCTGCTCTTTGAAAATAGCTAATTGCAGCTACAGAAGAAGTGTTTCTGTTCATATCTAGTATTGATTGTATTCCTGTTACTTTTGGCTGTGTTTGAAAGACACTTAAAACCAGAACACTTTCCTGCAGAAGGAAAGAAAAAAATTTAAATCAGAGGGTATCGCCTGTTATTCAACTTGCCTCCAAATCTCCCTTTTTAAAATAGCTAATTATTCAAATTTTTAAAAATTATTTCTTTCCTAGGAGAAGCTATTTGTGCAATTATTTTCTTTCCAGACAGTTATGGAAGGAATCCCTGCCTCCTTCCTTATTCATGCAGCTGTGGACAATCAATGTGACATGCTAGTCTGATTTATTTTCTTCAAGGACCATAAAGCCTCCTCTGCATGCTTTGTGATAGCTGTTACTCAGCAGGTCACACTGAGCGTAGAAGGATAGGTTAACCTGTATCGAGAGCTTTGCTTTGCCAAACTGAGCAAGTGTGCTGAAGTACACCTGCGGAAGTGAACAGAAAGGTGTAAATCCTCAGCTGCAATGGACACTTGGAGAAGTCATTCCTTTCCCTAGGGGAGGAGAACAGAGAGCAGGCTGCCTTAGCCAAGGAGCAGCAGGGCTCATCCCATCGTGGCGGTAATCGCTTCCTGGGTGCACAGACCCCAGCTGCTTATTTGATTTATGTCAGCTTTTCAGCCCTGCTCTCCAGCATGCCGGGCTCTTCATGCTCATGGAAACCAGCCACTTCTAGGACATTTAAAATGGAGCTCATCAGGTGTCATCTAGATCACTCAGAACCAAATAGTCATCAAGAAGGGCTTAAACACTGCAGACTATGGTGTCCTCCCTTGTTACCTGCTCCCTTTCCACAGGTACTTAGGAGCAGAAAAAGGTGGGTGGCACCTGGCACCTAGCTGTAATGGTCTCCTGCTGCAGGACTGTGTTACCAGACTCTTCACTGGAGCTGCAGCTCAGTCAAAGACTCTTTTTTTCTGACTGCATGTGCCACAGATGCTGCTTAATGTAATTAGAGTCATACGGGTACCACAAGTTAGTGTGCAGAATAATTATTTTTTAAACCCGCTGCTGCACTCTTAGAGCACTCCAGCAAAGAGTGATAGTCCACAGTAAAGACTGTCTGCAGACGTTTGCTTTTGTGGCCAAGCAGTAACTGGAGTACGTTCAATAAACCCTGTGAGAACCTATATTTATTTTCATGAGCACTGTGTAAATGTGTATGGGTTGAAAAGTCATGTCGTGTGTTGATGTAGTTTGGAAGGGGATATATAGGAAACTATAAAACGGGTGTTATAATCAGAAATGAAGACAGGCTCTTTTCCTTGATATATAGCCATCACTGAGGCGAGAGTGTGGTCCCCATAGTGCTACCCTAAATAGAACCGGTGCAGCAGCAGAGAAGCTCACAGTCACAGCTCACATATCTCCAGCAACTTAAGATTTAGCTCACACTTTGTTTGTGGAAATATGAAACAACTTCTGAACAGTCAAGCTGAAACAGGAAATCTGTTATCCCTCAGAGTCCTGCAAACTCCTCTTTTCTTCTCCTTCCTTTGTTTTCCTAGTACATTCCCCCAGTTAGTCTCTGAAACCTGTAGTACGGAAATTTGAGAGACTTCGCAATCCAGTAATATCACTCTTTGTGTTGCCGTGTGGTTAGGAGCACTTTCCAAGGCACTATTTATTCCATTTCATACCCATCAAAGCATGTGAGAGCAGGAGGGTCACCCTAAAAGCATTATCCTTCTGTGGTGAATTGGGGTTCTGATGGCTTGCAACAAACGTCACTTGGAGACACTTGTTTTCTCCAAATGCGTTAGTGTGCTTGTGGCACAGTGGGTTTTCTCTTTTTCCTAGACTAGTACTCCAGCAGAGTGGTTTTTCTGCTGCTGCAATGCAGACTTGTCCTCATTCTCCCTGTCAGTTGGGACAGGATGGGTGGACGGCAAACAGCTCCCAGGCTCTGATCCCTGGCTAATGTGTTGACCTCATGGAAAGGTCCATGTGCTTTATGAAGTGGCTGTCTCTGTATGTGTGTGTGTATAACTGAAAAAATGACAAGCCTATGAGAATATTTCACAGCTGTCAGGCTGTCTCGAAGCTCGTTGGCTGCTTCAGTGGTGATCAGATGCTCTCTCCCTGTATTGGGTTGGCTCAGCTGGATTTTG